AAGTGCTCTATTACCATATGGTTTTAATGCAAGATGAATAGTTATTCATTGATTGATTTTGAAAATAACCTACTTCAATGCTTGAACGTGCAATAGATAGGTTAGAAACAAAGTGAAGACTTCCAAAACATAGGGCTGGAATGCTCAGCCAGCATAGACACACACACCTCTATGTAAATATCTCTATACATATTCATTTACATATACATAAATGTGTACGTCCATATCTCTATACATATGCATATATGTGTGTGTATATACATGTGTATGCATATGTGTATGTATATATGTGTATGTATATACATATATAAATGTAAATATATAAGTATATGTATATATGTATGTGTGTGTGTGTGTGTGTGTGTGTGTGTGTGTACACAATGGCGTCGGTGGTGGGCTGCTCTGATTGGGCGATACCCTGGTTTGAATCCTTCAGCTTTCAATCCGTGCTCGACAACGACGAAGTTCTCGTACTCGACGATGAAGGAGTTTGCGCTCGTTAATCTCCTCTACGATTGTCGTCTCCTCCGCGCCCAACAACGAAGGGCTTCGGCGTCTTCAAGCTTCTGTGGTTTCGTTGTCTCCTTCTTCTTGTCTTCTGAGACTGCCGTGATTTCGACATCTGCAGTTTGTATCTTCTGTGCAGCTTTGCCCTGACCTCTTCGACTTGTCGTTTTTGCCCTCTGCCCGACTTGGCAGGGCTTCTCCTTGCTGTGTGGAACTTCTTTCTTCTTCAGTGGAACCTGACAAAACCTACTTTGCCAACGGGGTGAGTAATCCTTTGGGGGAGATGACAATTGTCTTTTCCTCAAGTTATAAGGAGTATCGTGATGGTACATGTGACTGCCTCTTTATTAATAATGCAAGCAGAAAAAATAAGAAGTCAACACATTTTTTATCTGAGTTAGAAATTTCAACCCTAATTGACAAATTCAAATTTGCTCTTATTAGAAATTTTTAGTGGGGACACTCACCTATGGAAGATACCAGGAAAAGTTTTGATGATCTCAGATTAGCAGGAAAGTGGAAGGTATGACTCATGGATGAGAGACATATATCGATTCAGTTAACTGTGTCTGAAGACTACACTCGGATTTTCTCCAAAAAATATCTTAACATTGCTGGTAAACCAATGAAGCTACTAAAGTAGTCTTCGAATTTTGACCCTACTCGTGAACCTTCTACTGTACCGGTATGGTTTACTCTACATGTTCTGAAGCTTCACTTTTTTCATCATCAAGTTCTTTATTCTGTTGGTGCCATACTTGGGGACCCTATGAAGCTAGATCTACGAACTTTCAATCTTATTAGATCTTCTGTAGCCAGAATACTTGTGAAAAAATATATTACTTTACCTGATATTACTAAAGGCTGGTTGGGCACAACTCATAATGGATACTGGCAACAAATTTTCATAGGGCTTAAACCTCATTATTGTTCTCATTGTAAGTACCCTTGATAAATGTCATAAGCTTTATCCTAATTTAAAATCTAAAGATCAATCGAATGAGGATGAATCTAAGGATATATCTATTTCACATGGAGAGAAAACTACCTTAGGACAGGATTTAGTGTCTGATTCTATTGCGTTGGTGGACCTTCCCCCTGAAAATACTGTTTATGCGATCGATGAAAAGCTGGATGGCTGTGCCGAGCAACCTACACTGTCAAACCCTATTGAAAACAGTTCTGAAGGACCTCTACCTACACAGATTGATAATCAAGAGAACCTTGTAGCTCCCCATCTTCAGGAAATATCGGGGGTAGAGGCGACAACTCTTACCTCACATACATTTGAACCTCTTGTGGGCACAATTGTTGGCAATCTTTCCACTGCAGCATTATAACCTCATCCGAATGAGCAACAATCTTCGGATGAGGAATGACAGGTCTACACTTCCATAAGGAAGAAGAAAGAATGAATATCTACTTGAGCTAAGGAATCTAATGGATGATACTTTGGTTACTTCGGGCAATGGTACGCATCTCACCAATTTGTTAGCTGGTTTCCTTTCGAGAACTAGAGGCAGAACTAAATTAGGCCGACCCGATTGATCTTATATGTACCATCATCTTCTGGGTTTTTAATTTTCTTTTCTCTTTTTGTGTGTGTTGTACCGTGTGGGTTGGGTGCCTATTTCAGCCCACTCATACAAAATATTTGTACCATTTTCTCTTTAATATAATTGCCCTTGAGCTTTTTTAGTATATATATATATATATATATATATATAT